ACATTTTGTCGACACACTTTCAAGACGAACATATTTTTGGGATACCGCAGTCCCATGTGAATCAGAAAGTAGCCACAATGTAGTACAATTGAATCCTGATGAAGATAAATACTCTCTCCTTACACCACATCCTACGTTAATGCAATCACTCAAAAAATTTTCAAACGAAAGCATCAGAGCTATTGCTCGTAACCCAAATATTGATTTACAATCAATTGGAATATATTCTAAATCAGATATCCAACATCACAATAGAACACAACAATTTCAAGAATTATTAACATAAATGGACACTATACAAAAACAGTCAATTGACCAGAATTTAAGAAAACTTGCCGAAACCGCAGGATTTGCAGATATTTATACACAAGATTATAGCGGATATTTTAAAGACATTAAAGACTACATATATTTAAACGGTGAAAAATACAGACCACAGGATATTTCACCTATAAATATTTTCAGTTTTGTCACCCTAGAAAACGAAATTCTAGCTTTTCTAGGATGGCCCTATTACATCTTAGAAAAATTAACTATCTTATACGCAATGTTTAACTTTATAGGATTTCTTTTCTCACTCTTAAAAGGAATCTATAACACATGCGCTATACACACACACAAGTAAACAGACAAGCAAGTGTAGCACGCATACTGTTTGCAGGGTTTTTTGGAATTTTCTCATCATCAATAAACAAAATACTTCTAGATGCACAAATAAAAGAATATAACACGAAAATATCCACAAGACAAAACACTTACGACGAAGAACACAATAATATAGAGATAACACCTACTGCACTACAGTTGCCACCCCTACCACAAAACCATTCATTATCATTAGTTCCCCGTAATTTCCGAAACCTAGCAATCACAAATAATCCAAATTCTAGACCAAATATAACACAAAGCTCCATCCAATATATAATGACACATCATCCACAAATTGATAATACATACGAACAAATTATAGACAACCCCACAACACCATTTTTCAGTCTCAAAATAATCACTTTTTTAGCCCACAATGAGCCGACAACTTGGATCCCTGCATCGCTTAAATTCCCACCCAGCCAACCTCGAAACTCAAATCCCAATAATCCCATTTTTTGCTTTCCCACCACCCGATTTTCCGATTATTAAAATATCATCAAGCACGAATTCTGATACTAATTCAGATATTTCAGTTTTATACTCTATCTCACAATTTAATAACCCTAATGTAGAAACCCCTGACGAATTTGCAGACTCCGAACCATCTCCATCAAATTATACTCAGACCCACTCCGCAGTTTTTTCAAAACCCCCTTTTCAACCAATTCCATCAAATCATTCACTCCCATCCGTTTCCACTCCTTCTTATGCTTCGCAAGTAACCCCAACCTATTCTCCACTTCATTCCGACAGGTCATATAATAATTCCCCAGATACCCCCCAAATTTCCCAGGAACTCGATAATTTTATTACCCTACAACAACAGTTAATACACCCTAACACCCTCACAATACATCCACTATCATCCACAATAGAATCATCAAACCCACCTACTCCTACACCCTCCTCAGCTTACACTGCATCATTCACACAATTTTTCAGATCCACCGAAACACCTAGTAGCACTCACCGAGCTTATCGCACTTTTAAACGAAAATTCCCAAATCACCCATTCCCGACCAAACCCGGAACAGCCTGCGAAAATATTAATCGCCCGCTACACACTAACACAAAAAATTTTCTTGCAATCACCTTACCCTCATTTCCACAATATACATTAAACACACCTAATGATACTAATGACACACGTAGTTTTGTAGATGAACATGTTTTAATGCCAACACTTCATTGGACAGCTTATTATCATTTTACTAACCCCCTTTGCCTACCACTAACTAATACTCATGACAACATAGAAAAGAACAAAGACATGTTATATAGACTCACCACAACACTAACACCTCGACAATTTACTTACGTAGGATATAAAAAGTTACTAAAAACATTCACTGCACCCCGAGCTAACGAATTTACAATAGAATATTATGACCATAATATCATCCGACCTAATCAAGACCAATTTTTAGATAAAGACCGCTTCGCTAACCCGCAACTAACAGAAAATTTTTTCATCAAAACATCATACGTATTCACACTTAATATTTTTGATAGTAAGTATGATCACATCATTTCAGAATCACTAGCTGATATTCAAGCTTACGCAAGTTTCCACGACAATTTTCAGTTATTTTCACTAACCTTTCACTTTCTTTCACCACATGAACGCGATTTGCACTTTTCCCACAATATTATGTTACGCACTAAACAAACCCACACATATACATACTATCGTTTTATACAAAATCATTTTGATTTGCATACCCCATCAAGACAACCGCACCATCGTTTTCAGTTTCTTAACTCAAAGAACACGTCACCATTTTTCCTTAATTTTACATATTGCATCAAAGATACTAACCTCCACGGCATCCTCCGCAACTATGACCCAGTTACCCAAATGTATATCTTTTGTCCCATCATGAAGACCTTTAATGTCGAAGAATCCAGACCCTTCCTTATCCCGCATGAATTTATACAGCCTATTGAAATACCAATATTAGAATTCATTCACAATACTAAATACAATCATAAAATGTATAACCTCATTCAAAACACACCTTACGAGTTTGCAGTAGGCACTGAAGAACTAAAAACCATTAAAGCACTTCAATTGCTTTGGCCACTGCTACAAACTAAGAACATCATACGCATACTAGCCAAATTACTAACAACATCAGATAAGATACACGACATCTTCCCCCACGGCTTTCTCCCAGAAGATTAGCAGGTAAGTATAATTTAAAATACTCTTCACTAATAAAATTAAATTAGTACTAACCATTTTTTATTAATGTTTCATTTATATTTCTAGTCTTCACACCACGATCACCTACAAAACAGAAAAGAAAAATAAAAAAACAAACTTGTTAAATTCTCTTAAAAATCGTTAATTTCTTGCACTAAATAATGTAATAAAAGTCATACTAAATGTAGTAATTTTATCTATAAATTATTTCTCCATGAAGCAGTAACTTAATTACGATGAAAATTTATAATTTTAAATTTCCCCCAAAAGCAGTAAAATTCAAATTCTATGCAATAAATTGATAAAATGAGAAAGCAGTACTAACCTTTCCAAATATTTTCATTCACTCGCACAAGAATTCTATCCAAACTCGCACAGCTCGCCCACGAGGAATTGTTTAAATAATGATTTTAAGTTTCAAGTTTTCACACTCAACAACTCTAACAAACGATAACAAGTTTCAAATTTTCCTTTAACCCGGTTGGAAAGGAATTATATACTAAACCAAACTAACCAACGCAGCTTACTAAATACCACAAATTATAAAATAACAGCATGACTAAGAAAAGAAAACCAACGGTACCCAAACCGGATTAACCCAGTTTAAAACTGGATAATTTATTCTTTTGAAGACTATTATAAAGTCTAGAAAATAATCATAAAACACAAAAAAGTCGGAGGACAAACCCATACCAAAAACAATTTGATTTTTGAAAAAAGGACACAACCAAAGTAACATAAGAAAGACCAACATAAACCCAACATAAAACGTTATCACATAACAGGACTTCTCAAAGAAACAGCATGAAATCATACTCCCACTCCTGGCCTAACCCACCAGAGAGGACCACCTGAGCATGCTCTATAGCCGCCCTAACCCACCGCGCTACATCCACGCTTTGTGACCACACTCCTCTTTTTAGTAAGAGGTACTCAAGGGTGAGTAACTCTTCAAAATAACCAAACTAAAACAAAACGCTTTTGTGAAAACGACTAACTAAAATCATGATTAAAAAACTGAATTAACATAAATTTATAAAATGTAAATCATACTTTGCAGTATATAGATCAATACACAACACTAAAGACGAACATCCAAAGACTAGATGATCCCATCACACTCGAATAAAAGAATGGCTAAGCACAACCGACATGCCGTCCACAATCACAACTCAAAGGATTTAGAGTACGACTTGACTTCGCAGAAAAGGACTTCATTGAACTAGACCAATGACCACCTCGATGTTCAAGTATACGTACAGATCCGAGTTACAAGGCATCCCTTCCACGCACGATCTTCACGCCATTCCCAGACGAGGTTGCACTCAAAACAAGTTCTCTACATAATACAGAAAAACCCGTCATAGCAATACATCTTGAAATCGGATTGATTTCATTGGGGATCACAGTCGTTGTTGAATGACGACATAACAATTTCCTGTCCATAATTCCAGCGTCCTGGAACTTCCTTATCCAAGAGGAACCGGACAAGAAAATGATGTTCACCAAATACCAACGTTCATCACCCATCCTTCAAATTGCAGAAAGATAATTCTAAAAAACTCAGTAAAACCCGGATGGGTGGAACCTGATCTAAACTACATTTTATTATTCGATAAATTATATATTTTACCACTGTAAAGTATTTAATATTGACCAATTATAATCCATCCAACTAACACCACTTATTTTTAAGTGCTGAAATTACTTGTAATTTCAGCACCAGAGAAATTTGAATTTAACTTAGAAATTAGATGCCTCTCCAAGAGAACTTCAGCTGCCGCAATAAGCCAGTATACTCTAGATCTATTGAGCCTAGCAGAGACTAGTTAAACACCCTGAGACTAGATAGTATAAGAGTAAGATTAGGATCGGTATTAGACTAAGAAGTTGCACGAATCTATCCGGCCGAAAATAAGATAGCGTGACGAGCAGACGGTGTACCCTATCCGAAATTACTCTATGAGTTAACCACATCGGTCATAACTCATTTGGCTTAATGTACTTTTTGTAACTTGGCTTAAGTGGGATTATGTTTGCTAGATATAATAGTAGGGAGAAGAGGGCACAGTAAAGTGCGAAAAAGAGTTTCAAAAAGTACCGACTTATTTGTTGGGATGGTGAAAGAAATCTGTTTTCTGACCTGACTCGATGACGTAGAAGTAGTCCCCCTGAGATCCCTGTGTGATGATGTCAGTGTTGCGAGGCACCCTCTGCTCAAACATGGCCGCCTTCACATCCCCCTTCTGAGTGGGGGAGAGACGGGAGTAGAGGAACAGACGAGACTCCACCTATATCATGCAGACCACTAGACAAAAATTTTATGAACCTTACGGAAGAGAACTCAAATAAACTTATAGAAGGGAGCAGAAAAAATGACTGATATGAACTGGAGCCGAATGGAATAATGACCCTTCTGGATGGAAGCTAAATAAAATTGTATCATTTGAAATCAAGTTTTGAAACCACTTTTGGTCATAAATTGGTTGCTAATTGCTTTAAAAAAATGGTTGCTGAAGTATTTTTTGCACTAAAATGCTGCCATAAATGGTTGCTAGAACTATGCTTTCATTACCTTTGCGATGGCTTGGTCCAGTCTTTTCTGTTGTTCCGATGTTTTAGGCACTACGGCCGCACTGGTGTCCAGAGTACTGGGGTCCACTCTCTCGACAGAGACCGAGAACCTCCTGCCCTGATTGGCCACCATCTTCCTCGTCATGCCCACTACATCCGGCAGCTGCAATTCATCATTCGACCCCAAAGTCACCTATATAGTTACGCAACCATCAATAATTGTCTCAACTATTGGTATAAAAAAACGAATACTGATTAAATTTTATCTCCGTACTGAGTTTAATCTGAAATAACGTGTTTTGATGTATATTTTTCAGATCTGAAAAGTGGCTTATGAAATTTCAAATAACACGTGGATGCTTTAAGCATGGTTTATTTCACATCTAATTTTGTTTCTCAGGGTTATTTCAGATCGAAAAAAAAGAATTTTTCACAAAATTTCTTAATGTTACAATGAAAAGCTTGATCCTAAGAGTTCAAATGCAAATGCGAGTTCTTTAAACATCTGGAACTTGTCGAGTTCTAGATTTTTAACAAAAGCTAATTTGGCTATGTTTTAGACAAAATTATGCGCTCTTTAATGATTTTATATATGATTCTGTGAGCTTAATGCTAATAATTTTTGCGTGGCAATTTACGTAACACTCAAAACTATTCCAAGTAGATTTGAGTGAAGAAAATTGGTCATATTAGTTCCCTATACCGACTCGAAGCTTATCAATTGATGTGCGATATTGGTTGTTCAAAATCCATAGCTCATCATTTTTTCTACCAAAAAAACAATCGAATATCAGTTAAAAGGAAGTGAAGTGACGAGCTTGACCAGATGCATGACCACTATTACGCAACAGAGAAAAAACTCACCTAAGAAACATTACGCAACCATTGTTAAATATTCCATAATATTGCACAAACAGACAAACTTACAATTATTGATGTATATGTCTCCTTGTATCAAAATTGACAATTAGTCAACATGATATAATGGAATAAAAATCAGAATTATTTGACGCATAACAATTTTTTGAGACAAAAAAAATTACCGCTTTTAAGTTAAAAGCATATTAGATATGGCGAGAGGACTTGACGCTAAATCAACATCCTCAGGGTACCCTTAAAACTTTATGCCGAAGGAAGATGACGAAACCAATCTTTGTCGTGCGTTTGATGTGTTTAGTCTGACATCAAAATTTATTTTTCATTGCTGGTCTAGATAAAAAACCGCGATGCCATCAGAGTAGGTAAAAATTTCTAGCTCTCACCCTAGTGGCCAGTTGCATCGTGATTTAAAGTCCTCAAGTATTCGAGGGCATCTTTTGTGATTGACTGAGGGCCTACTCTGATGAGAGTTGAGGCGTACTCTTTTTAAGTAGACGCCTCCCGAAGTTCTCCAGTTTATGTTTTGTCCGCTTCCTGGACCTGTTGGAAAATTTTACCTGTAGATGCATCGTAGAAGACTAGTACTAGAGCGTAGAAAAAAGGACGACCCATACAAAAAAAGCGTGTCGTTAGAATGTCGTGGTCAATATCACTGCTGATATGCATCGGCGGACAATATCTTATCAAATGCCTCAATCTCGGCTTCAATAGAAGCAGTTTGTTTTTTCGATTGTCAACCAGAACCAAGATTTGTAGGAACGATACTTTTTATCAAAGTGAAGAGAAGACGGAGGAGTAAGGCGCCATCCACAATGCGGATTTGTATCGTTTCAGTTATCGTGGTTTTGTTGAAGTTGATTGGTTCTGAGCGTAATTGCTTAAAGACGCCGACAGAGTATGTAGAGCTGTCAGAGAGTAGTAGTTTGGGCATGCCTCTTCTAGCATTGAAGCGTCGAATTGCCGTAATGCAGTTGTTTCTAGTATTCCTATTTGTGAACACCTGGTGCACCGCAAAAATAGCGAGGCATGTGAAGAGCCAACTATAGACTTTTTTTTGTGGTTTCATAGAAATTACGATTTGTTTATGTAGCCATTACCTGTGCTTTTAAACGGAAATCAATCACCGGTTTAATCGTCGAAACGATTAGACGGTAAATCAGCCATGAGTGATTGAAAATTTCTGCCTTGAAACCTCCTGCAGAGAAAGCTATGATGTCTTTTGTGTTTTTTGTAGCCCAATGAAGACTTTTTTCTATGATGAAAAAAAATTTTTGAACTTAATTGAGCAGGTGCTCAGTGCCATGGTGTGTACAACGGATGTAATGAAAAAGGAGAAGCTTGGCTCTTTCCAGGTCTTCCATGGTAGCTGAACATTTCCGTTTAGGATAACGATAGAAACTAGAGCGCGAGCTGTTCTAATCAAACTTATTTTATCCAAACTAATCAAAGTGAGTCCTTAAACCAGGAGCCATGGATTCGTGTGTAGTCCGGTGGGGGGGGGGGGCTAACTGCTGTAGCGTTATTTTATTTCGCTCACTCGTTGATCCCCAAGTAGCCCCATTTTGAGTAGAAGTTGTGATGTAATTAACCAGAGCGTGATTACGTTTTTGAGTTCGATTTCCCGTTTAGCGCTGTCTGCTGAATTAAATTTAATTTGTGTGGACTTTGAAAACATTAAGTATCTCGGCGACTCTGTGGGCGCAGTAAGTTTTCTATTTTATGGGCAAAACACACCAGGGTAAAATTATTGTGCCATTTGTCCAATATTGAGTGAGCTGAATTTTTAAATCATCAATAGCGAACTTGCACAGTCGTGCGATCATTATGAGGCGATCATTAGGGGTTACAGTTTTGCAAAAATTTTCTTGGTTCTGTGGAGTTACCTTTGTTCTGCAAATCAGAAATAGCGTGTATGCCAGATTTACCCGCAATACCGAAAAAGAGACCCGTAACTATCGCGCATGCAATGGGGCGATGCGTCTCATATTACAACATAAAACTGTGATCAGATGAAAGATGTGACCCAAGTAAGATGAGCCTTGCCTACCTTGCTCGGCCCTTTTCAGCTACTTACGACGTCTCGTGGCATGGGCTCGTCGCAGGAAAAACATGATTATCATTTCGAAGATGTACTTTAACCTTTTGTTTTGCAATCGGCGCTAGACTGATTAGACTGTCAAAAACCCATACTACTATAAAGAGGAATTTTTGGTGCGTGGAAGTTGTGATAAAATATGTCTTTGTCATTGGTGGCCCTAATACCCTTTCTTATTGGCGGCTGAGACTTGGCGCCTGAGACCTGATTCGCTGCGGCGTCAGTAGAGTTTTACGTTCATCAAAAACAGAAGACATTATGAGCAACAGATAAGAACTTAGTTAGATTGGTTTTACGGTCAAAAGTTTTATTTTGTGGAAGAGCCTACAAATACCCCGTCCAAATGGAAAATTTTTTTTGTAGCAGAGCTTCTGTCTTCATTTCGTGCGCCAACTGAATTAACAAAATTGTCCATATAGCAGATTTCATGCAATAGGTGAGCAAATTTGGGCTTGGTTAATCGCAGTAATTGCCAGCGATTTGATGAATATAAAGAATGCCGACAAAAAACAAATTTTGCCAAAGGTAAGCCGAGTGTTTCAGTTTTGCTTCATACTTTTTTCAATGGCCAAATGAAGCGGCGAAGCACAGTTTGGTTTTTTTCTTAAGCACCTATTTGGATAAACAAGATTTCAAAAGCAGCCAATAAGGCAACACATTTTTTTTGGAACCGTAGTAGAAGACTCAATTTTTTTTTTTTGGTGGTTCTGGTTCACTTTTAAGGCTAGAAAGGAATTAGACACATTTGTATGTCAAGGCAGCGTGGGCCACTCTACGAGTCTTCCCGGGCTTCCTTGATTTTTCTACCGGGTGATATAAGAGGTTCCAAATGTTTTCAGGCTGAGCGAATGAATGAAAACTAACAGACATTACTTAATTATTTTGCAGGTCAGTAGTTGAGGATTTCTCATATAGTTGCTTGATTTCTGTTTTTTAGGCAACCATATAGTTCTTGCATTTGAATTTTCGCTATTGAATGGTTGTACGGCATTTTTAAATTGTTTTTGCGCACTAGATATGATTTGAAGCCATCGTAGTTTTGCTCACTGTTTTGTTCCATAAAATATAATGGTTTTACGTTCTTTTCAGAGAATTTAGTAGTTTTGCTGTTTTTGTGTATGACTGATATTTCCATAATCCAGTGTTTTTTTCGCTATTTCAATGAGAGTAGTGTATTTTTATTCAGTTGTGAAAATCATCAATTTTCAGTTTGACTCAATTTCATTAGATTTTTGCTTGGTTGGTGCAGTGGCTGTTAAACCTAGTAGAGTTTTGACAAATTATGGAGTGCATGCAAAATTTCATCTACATTTAGCAGAATTTCAACTGTAAAGAGGCCAAAAGCAAGAAAGTTGACACGTTGAAGGTGGTTGTGGAGTAGACAGGTTCATTTGAGGTTGCATACGTGGATTGTGTCAAAACTCAGAATTTTGACCGAGTCGACTGATTGTACAATTGTTGTAGGTCTTTACTGCGAGCGCGTCCTACGCTAAACTGTAATTGTTGACTTGGTTTGCTTATACATCCTCAGCAAAACAACTTGAAACTTCCAGTGCAAACCCAATCAACAACTACAGTTTAGTGTACAGCGCGCTCCAGTTGTCGAGTATGGCGTAGCAGCCCAGTTTGATTTCATTTTTGAAAAAATTACTGGCATAAATTGCAACTGTCTTTTGATGCTGCTTTTGATGCTATTTCATATTGTCTAAGCAAGTTTGATCATTGATCTGCGGAAACTTTACAAAAATTTGGAATTATTACAAAACAGTGAGCTTGGTTATCTGTTGGAAATGTTATACTTGTTGTTTTTTGCAGCAGTCAGAGGAAAGGCGGTGGTCTTTTTTTCTGGGATTGATGGTAACATATTTGATCCGTTTTTAGATTGTATTGTTGCTTTGTTCCTTGATAGTGTAGTCCTGCTTGAATTTAATTTGTTGGTTCTGTGTCCAATTTTCCTCAACTTCTCAAGTATTTAACCAAATACTGCAAAAAGCCTTTGAGTGTAGCCCAACCGAGCTCATGCAACAGGCAGTGTTCTTCCTATTTCATAATTAAAATCACTAGGAAATAGGAAATTGGGCATATCTAACTATTCCTTGCAAATTGCAAAATTTTGACTGACCGAAACATACTAGCCTACTGAGAACATGATCTATTTTTTTCTCTTTCAACTGATGGACTTAATTTAGCTCTCAACTCTCCTTTTTAAAGACCATCAAGCTGGGCTCCTTCTGCCATCTGTAAAAA